CCCTATCTAGGCATTCCTGCCAAGATAATTTATCCTGCATAAGCTATCCCCGCTTGCCCCCTGTCGGTGTTTACTTTTTAGGTTTACCAAGTTTTAAGTTATAGTCATTTTTATCCTTAAGTTCTTCAGTGTAATGGGGCTCATAAAATAACTAGATAAACATTTACCTTATTCCAACATTTCTCACTAAACGAGCTTATATTTTATGATAGCAAGTTATTTATTAGTTAATGGTTAAGCAAGATGGTAGAGGGGGAGGGGAGCTAGGACTTGCCTTCGCTGTTGACTTCCTCCGGCACGATCTCGTAGTTGGGGTCTTTGCTTTCTCGGTTGTCATCGTCGTCTGTCGGCGTAGCTATCGCATAAGACTACCGCCAACACAAAAGAAAAGGGAAAAGCAAACATAGAACAATATGGTGGCACTAGGGTGGATGCATAGAGCTCGATTTTAGGTGGATTTTAGAAGTGGTTTCACCTAAAATGGATTTAGGATGCAAAAGATATGCATTTTATAAGTTTATTTCATAGCTAATTATCTAGATGGAATTTTATATGTATTTTCTGGTGCATGAAAATGTGTGCAAACTATATGGTTAAATTCCTTAATGCATCTAGTTTATTTACAATTTTTCTAGAAATTTTTCTAAGCTTGGAAAGTGGTTTTATAGCCTTCTGTGTACACTAACCGGGTGTTCCTAGCATTTTCTAACTGTACCCAGACTGTGTGTGTGCAACGTGCGTGTGTGTGTGATAGGTGGGCCAGGCCGCCATGTCAGCAATGACGGCGCTAGTGGCATCATGGCCGTGAGCCCCACATGACGGAGGGAGGGAGAGAGAGAGAGAGAAGACGGGACGGTGACGGCAACGCTGTTGCCGCCCGACCCCACGATACAGAGAGAGAGAGGGAAGGGGTGAGAGGAGACAGCGATGGCTAGGACGGCCACGCCAGTGACATAATAGGGGAGGGAGGTGCCGAGCTCATCGGAGTTGGTCACGCCGGCGATGTCCGGCCTCAGTGGTGACGGGTGAAAGGTGGACGGGGCTCGGGTGACCACGCCGCGGCTGGTGGTGGCTTTACCGACGATAGCGGGTGCTCGAGGTGGTGACGGCAGCTCGCTGGAGGTTCCACGGTAGCGCCGCTCCACGAAAATGGCCCTAGTGGCCTTAACTAACCTAGCTAACTACGCGTGCGTGATCAGGGGTGAAAGGTGAGCACGATAGGGTACTCTAGAGCTCGGTCGAGCCTTGCCGTCGGCTAGCCGGCGGGCACGGTGGTAGCGTTATATAGGGGCCTAGACTACTAACTAGCTAGAGCAAAAGGAGGAGGAACTCAGGGACTCACCTACTAACCCAATTGAACAACGAAGCAGCGGAGAGGGAGAAGGAGGAAGGCGGCGTTAATGGCGCCAGTGGCTCCTGATTTGGGGAAAACCAAAACAGAGGAAGGAGGAGAGGAAAGGGGAGGGGAGGGGGAGATGAGGTGTTCTAGCTCAAGGTGGAGCTAGTGGGAAGGAGCGCGAGGTCGGAGCGGCAGTGGCCGAGCCTATTTATAGGCCGGCCATGTTGGTTCCGGTGGTGAGATATTTTCTCACCCGCCGAGCTCACCGGGGTGCGCACACGTGCCTAATTCCACTAGGTCGGTTCGCCACAGTGCGGGCTTGCCCATGCATGCGGCTGGGAGAGCTCGGGCTCATCCATGGCGGTATGGCGAGGTGAGCTCTCCACCGCGTGTCGAGGGAGGAGCAGTGAGGAGAGAGAGGAGGGAGGAGAGGTGGTGTGGGGTCGCGCAAAGATCTTCACGAGTCTTGTCGCATCGCTGGGGCGAGGTGGTGGCGGCGAGCCCAGCTAGTTCGGGCGGCGACGCAGTATTCACATCGCTGGCCCGACAGCTGGGTCGCACGTGTCAGCGGGTGAGAGAGGGGGAGAGTGGAGGCGGGCGCGGCGTGGGTCGGGGCGCGGTGATGGGCCGGCCCAAGTCACGGAGGGGAGAGAGGAAAGAGGGAGGAGGGCTGGGCTGCTGCTGCCGTTGCTGTGGGTCGAGGGCGAGGAAATGAGCCCAGTGCTCATTTTCCATTTTCCTTTCCTTTTTCTTTTTCCTAGATTTCCTATTCTATGTTTAAATGCAATTTGAATTCAAATTTGAACATGCATGTATGCAAGGTATGCCACCATATGCTCAAGCAAACAAGCAAACACTCAAGCACACATTTCTACACTATAGGTTTTATTTCTAGGTTGGCCTATTATTACTAACTAGTATAGTGCCCGTGCTAACGCCACGGCATTATTTTAGGGATACACGTAAAAACAACTAATGATAATATTTTTTCCGTGCTAACACTATGATGACCTTCGGTAGTACAAATCAAACATTTAAAAGATAATATATGCATCAGTAACAAAGCGTAGATGTGGTATGTTTAAGATTCACTAAAAAACAATGATACATTGAGTTAGATACATTAGCACTGATCTCATTTGAAATATATTGATAACTAAATAGGACCCACTCAAAGGGTTAGAACTACAATAAGTATATTTTCTACCAATCGTCTTCTGTACCCTAGATACAGAGGCATAAATAAGTATGTCTTGGTTGCATTGATCGCCGTGGCAAATGTTCAGCAAGGTGTGTGTGAAGCGCCTTTCTACCAAAATCTTCTCTGCTTCTAGCAAGCATGAGATGGTCCAGACAATTGCGGATGGCTGCAACTATGTTGCATTGAAGATTGAAATTAGCTTGTTCTAAATATCATACATTAAAAAATAGAGGAATTATTAATTAAATGGACTATATGAGAATTATTTAAGGGGAACTTACAATTCAACTTTCTTGAAGGATCTCACGAGAAACTAGGAAACTGTAGAGAAAGATACATTTAGTAACTTAATCATGCCAACCGTAAAACACCACAATCATGCCAACTTTTAGTAGACACCACAATCTATATCATGACAAAGAATGTTCAGTTACTAACAAGATAGTATATTGCCCGTGCTAATGCAACATCCACATTAAATCCCAAGGTAATTGTAGGCTAAATATAAAACATGCATCGGCCTCATAGGTTACACATGCCTATATTGTCAGTTTCTCGTGAGCTTCATAGGTTACACATGCATCGGCCTCATAGGTTACACATGTCCGTGCTAACGCTACGAACCACGCTAAGTCCAAAGTTAATTTGGTATCCATGCACAACATTCCATAAAGGCTGCTTTATTCCTAAAAAAATTAATGAGAACTGTGAGATTACAAGATTTAGTAAAACATAATCAATCATGCAGTGTCAGGACATTTATAATTTGTGCCAATGCAAGATATGAATCTCTCTCCTTTATAAACCATGATATAGCAGCTCCAAGTGATACAAATTATTTTTTCTGGTAATGAACATAAGCTCAAAAGAGGAATTTCTACAAACATTTTAGCATGATAACTACACCTGAATGTGCTTTCCTGTACGGGCATTTTTCTCAGTTGGTTGTCACCTACCAAAGAGACAGGCTCACTTCGTGAAATCCCAAGCAGCTCCTTCTAACTTTACAACATAGTATAATGCCCGTGCTAACGCTACGGCAGCACACAACCAGACAAATCAAATAAGTAAAAGGCATACTCCTTCAAGTCTTCAAATAAATGACGTTTCGAGGTTGTCCTAAATCAAATGTTTTATACGTGGAGTCTAACTTAATTTGTATTATGTGTTAAGTTTTTGCAATTTTGCCATAAAAAGAGACTAATTTTTTTTGTGACTCAAAGAGACTACTAATTTAATTCGCACAAGAACACAAGCAGTTGTAGAAAAGGAAAAAGCCTGAATACAGATAACATAAGTAATCAAGCAGAGAGTCATACCATTTTCTTTGATGCACAGAAAGTTAGAAAGTTGATATAAGGCACCTGAAAGAAAAACATGAGCTACATTAGTAGGGTCATAAGATGCTCAGGAAATGCAAATGACAAAACTTGTGCACATCAGATGGCAAATAGAGCAGTGAAATCCTTTATCAAACAACTCTTTCTACCTATCCATCGGTACACCTACAACATTAATTTAAACCAAGCAACAAAGGCTTACTAATATAACAGAGCAAAGTGTCAGTTTTAAAAGCAGATGGGTGTACGAGGTATCTCATGTAACAATACCTCGGAGGCTTCAAGTGGAGTCTAAAACTGTGTTTTCCAAAAGAAGAAGAAGAAGATGAAATATAAGCAAAGTGAAGCGTCACCTCACCTTTCCCTGAATCAACAAAAATTCATTCTTGCTCTTAGTGTTTGACATCTCTTAGAATAAACAGAAGTTCAACCTTGTACTGACTTCAAATGATCTGAAATTTGGCAAAGTAGACCGAGAAGATCAAAACAGAGGACAGAGGAGTATCTGTTAGGGGCTGACTGAAAAAAGTGTGAAATCCAAAATGCCTTGAAAACTTTTATTCAGAAGCCATGTGAGACAGCATTCTTCTCAGCTGGACCAACATGTCATGGTGAAACCTCAAAGGTAGATATTATGCAAGACAGTAAAAATATGATGAAATAGTCATGGTGCCCAAAGTTATTACACGAGAGATGTAGTATGTTTGCACCATAAAAAATTCAAAAGACAAAAGCCAACATGTCAACTATATACAACAGATAACAACCAATGAGATATTGGTTCATTTCCTGGACACCATTCGTCAACTGAAATTTATGTAAATTCTCTGCAGGGATATATGAGAAACTTGGACATAGAAAGTTCCAGTCAGTAATACATCCGTCCTCTCTCACAAGGTTACCTATGATAATACTAATATAGTGAATTTATATTACACGAAGGCAAACATTGAAATCATGCAGGATTATAAGATGGGAACATAACAGTAAGACCAAGCTTGCAATGGGATTTCGTAATGCTGATGACTTTCTAAACACATGTGCAGGGACAACGTGAACCTGAAAACGCATATCCATCTGAATATATCCATCTTCTCTGCCGAAATATCCATCTGAATATTCACCTGCACCACACAATTGACACGGATTAGATTCACATGAACATCTGCAGCTCATTATATTTCCAAGACCAAAATTGCAACAGGAGAGCGAACAAAGGGAGTTAAATCTCTCAAATCGCTATCTCACCTCACCGTAGAGATAGCAGAGAGGTCGCTGGAGGAGGTGAGCACCGTGTCGTGGAAGGTGGACCTTCCTAGGACCCGCACCATGCTCGGATCCACCATGTGCTTCCCGCCTAGTATCTTCAGTATCGTCGTCTTGCCTACCACATGGAAAAACGAAGCCACCGCCGAGCTCGATCAAATCCGAGAGAAACAAAGGACAAGGTGGAAAGGCGTGTAGTGGGGGTGGGCTTACCTGAGCTAGGATGCCCGCCGGGACGTGGACTCACCGAGACACCACGACCGGGCCTGCCGCACCTTTGCGTGCCGTCACGCTGGGCCACTTGAGCTTGGGCTGCCCCGCCGGGATGCAGCGATGCCGCGATCGGGCCTATCCGCGCCTCTGCGCGCCGTCGCGAGGCTATGCCGCCATGCTGGGCCTCCTCGCCGGGACGCCGCGTGCCTCCGCCGCCAGATTCGGAGGCCTGCTCCCGGTTCCCCGAAACCCTAACCCTAGCCGCCGCCACCATCGGTGGAGCCGGTGCCGCAGACGCGTTCGTAGCCGGCGGCGAGGACTTCTTCTCGGCTCTGGCCACGCGTGGGCAGCCTTGGTTGCCGTAGTGCTGGCGGCTGGCGGATTGGTGACCGAGTGGGAGAAGAGTCGCGCGTGCGTATATCTCGGCCTCCTGGGAGAGGAGTCGCCCGTACGTCGTGGGGAAAATGGAAAACAATGGGCGCGGGTGCGTGGGAGGTACACGGTAGGGCGATGGAGGGGCACACACTAAACATGAGCTGTTGGATTTGATGAGTAATAAGAGAGAATGACTAAAAGATAATCTGGTGTATCCATTTTGATGTTATTATATTTTCTAGGTACATTCATATGTGTGGATGTAGCATAGGTCATGACTGTGGAGTAGGCATTTATTATGTGGCTGTAAATTTATTCTAACTGGTGTATTATAGGGGTAGTAGATTACTAGGTTATTTATTTAGGTGATTAGGTTATTAGGCAAAGTTTTAAAAAGTTCAAAATTTCAGTGGTTTTTAAACTAAGTCAAAATTTTAGGTTGTTACAAACCTGCCCCCTTAAAAAAAATCTCGTCCCCGAGATTCGAACTGATCCTCAAATAGATAGGGAAATTGTTTTTTAAGATCATCTTCTCTTTCCCAAGTGGCTTCTGCATCGGTATGATTACTCTATTGTACCCGACAAAATCTTACTTCAGTCATTCTTGTTTGTCGGGTGGCAACATCCAATATCCTGACTAGTCTCTCTTGATACTGTAAATCTGGCTGTAAATCCATGGATTCCATAGGTGCTTGTCCTTCTGGTACCCTCAAACATTTCTTTAGTTGTGATACGTGAAACACACCATGAACATCTGCCATTTCTAGTGGTAATTCTAGTCGATAAGCTACGGCTCCAATCTTTTCAATGATTTGATATGGTACAATATACTGTGGTGCTAATTTTCCCCTGATTTGGAATCTTCGAGTGCCCCTAATTGGTGATACTTTAGATAAGCATATTCCCCTGGTTGAAATTCCAATGGCCTTCGTCTGGTGTCTGCATAGCTCTTTTGTCTGCTTTGTGCTGCCTTCAAATTTTTTTGTACCTTGGCTACTTGCTTTTTGGCTTCCTTGATCATATCTGGGCCAAATAAACTTCTTTCTCCAACCTCAGACCACATTAATGGGGTTCGGCATCTTCTTCCATATAATGCTTCAAATGGTGACATCTTCAAACTTGCTTGATAGCCATTATTGTAGAAGAATTCTGCGAATGACAAGCTCTTTTTGCCAGTCTTTTCCATAAGTGAGTACGTAGGCTCGTAACATGTCTTCCAATATCTAATTTACCTACTATGTCTGCCCATCGGTTTGCGGATGATAGGCTAAACTATAATCTAGATGTGTTCCCAATGCTTTGTGTAGGCTCTTCCAAAATCGTGCGGTGAATTGAGTTCCTCTATCTGATACTATTTGGCTCGGTACTTCATGCAAGCGGAGCATGTTGTCAATGTATAGTTGTGCCAGCTTGTTTCCTTTATAATCGGCTCTGACCGATATAAAGTGTGCCCCTTTCGTCAGTCGGTCTACTATGACCCATATGGAATCATGTCCATTTTGTGTCTTCGGCAGCCCTACTATGAAGTCCATGCTTATCTCATCCTACTTCCATTGTGTTATGTGTAATGTTTGTAGTAGTCTGGTGGGTCATTGGTGTTCGGCTTTTACTCATCGGCATGTATCGCATTGTATGACATATTCGGTGATATCTCATTTCATTCCGGTCCACCAATACTTTTGCTTGAGGTCCATATACATCTTGGTTGATCCTGGTGGATAGAGTATGCGGAATGGTGTGCTTCTTCTAGTATTAATCTTTGGAGGGCTTCACCTTGGGGTACGCATATCCGATCTTCATACCATAATTTTCCTTGGTCATCCACTTTGAATCTTGGGATTTCCTTCCTACTACTTAGCTCCTTGAGGTCTTGTATTTCTCTGTCCTGGTCTTGGGCTTCTTTTATCTATTCTAGTGTTGGTTGTAGTTGTAGAACATTCAGGGTGCCTCGTGGTATAATTTGTAAGTTCAGTTGATGGATGTTGTGGTAGAACCACCTAATCTAATGCCCTCCCAAGAGTATTTGTCTTCCTTTAGACACTAAGTACCCAAGAGAGTGCACTAAATCGTGCCATTCCGTCGAGCACACCCTAAGGAAGAACTAAAAAATCCACATTTTTCCATCAGGATCATAAATGAGAGAATAAATCTTACAACATTCTTAATCATTTCTTACATCACTTTATTACAACATTAGAGTACTTAAACAAGTTGAGTGCAATAGCAGAATTAAGACAGTTTTACTTGTAAAAGAGTTTATATATTTTAGGTTCACATTTTTATCTTGCAGCGGAGAACAACATATGATCAGAGTTACAACAGAAATAAAGGTTAATGGTGAATCATTAACATAGTGAACATTTATAAACCAGATATGATGACATATGATAAAACTTTTCTTCTAAAAATTTTTAGTGAGGGTTATAAATAAACACTATGGTCATAGCGTGAAAGGAATCCTCTCTGAGCCACCAGGAGGTTTCCACACACAAGAGTCAGATCTATGTATCCTCTGGTCACTTGTAACAGGGGGAATAAAACCCTGAGTACTCAATTGTACTCAGCAAGACTTACCCGACAGGAGGAAAATAAAAGACTCCAAGGATATTCAAGGCTATCTGGCTTATGGGTTATTGCATCTGTAGGAAGCATTACTAAATGTGCGTCTTTATATTCAATTTTATTAGCATTCATCATTAGTTCATTAACTAACCATTCTATGTAAGCACCTATACTACTTTCAAGCATGTGGTAAGCAATCAAAACCATTTTACCATCTTTCAAATTCCAGTTCTTACTACTATGCTAGACCATAGCCAAGTTGTATCGTCTCACAGAAACGGCGATTCACAAATGAATGTATCCCAGCTGGGTACCCCAAAACACATGCCTCGCTTGTACCCGAGGCACAAGCAAGATCAACCCGTTCCACTCTTGTCAAGAGGTCTAGGTCCCCGTCCAAACTTGGACTCCAAGCCCCCATCACCTGAGACCTGGTCTTAGTATGGTGCTTAGACCTCTACCTAATACCCACCCCTAAAAGTCGGTCCGGAAAGAGCCGGAACCAATGACAAGAGAGCAACAATCTTCCCGTTCCCATAAGCAAGTATATGCTCAGGGTAATAAATCTGTGACTTGACTACCATCCACAACAACAGATGGTCCTCAATCGATACAGACGGAACAAGTGCAATATGAGCCTAGCTCGAATGCCTATCCAAGTCTAGATCTAAAGTATCATTCTGTCCGGTCTCCAATTATCCTTCGTATATATTCCATGTGATAGTAATATAATAACAACAATAATACCTTTCCTATCTCTCGTGAGCGACAGGTAATCACTCGACTTCTACCGGATTCTATAACATAGCAATCTACACGATCTTGACATACTAGTAGGACTCATAGGATATATATATATATATATATATGCAAGTGGGTTTCATTCAACTCCTCAAAACTTAAGGCACAAGCATAAAATAAAGTGCAGAATATTAGAGGTTATGCACCGGGGCTTGCCTGGGCAAGATATAACCAAGGATTTGCATTCCACCATGGTGACACGATCACCAAGGCACCATCCTCATGCTACTCCGACTGATTCTAGATCCATCATTTTCCTATTATGATATTCGCAGATGCAGCGTAGAAAACGTAATTAATCAACAACAACCACAACTCTAAAAACACTATTATGCTTCGCAAGCTAACGAGCTAGCTCTAATGACTAATGCACTAGGCTACATATCCGCGTTGTCAAGTAAGGCTTCATTTCTGGGAAATGTTTTAGTTTTACAACCCCAAGATGTTCTGGCATTTTATTGATTATATATATATATATTTGAACTAGGGCTCATTTAGCTACCTTAGATAACTAATCATTATGGAGCTACAAAAATTACAGTGAGCATCTAATAATGGTAGGAATTCACTGTTACCAATTTATCACGAAAATTCCTACAAGTTTATATCTTAATAATATTAAGTATCCCAATTTAATTAGATAGCCCCTAAAAATACTATAAAACTATGTGAACAAGACATACCAGTAGATAGATCATGATTTTAGGAACCTAACAAATTAGTTTCAAAATTTTTGGACATGTACATAAATTGATATTAAAATTGCAAGTTTGCTTAGAAACTAAATTAGAAAAATGCTTTAGAAAAGAAAAAGGGCCGGCGGTAAGCATTCGCCCCAGTAGCCCATTGCGACCTGCGTGGAGCGTGGCCGTGCGCCAGCAGGCTGGCCCAACTGGCCCGCTGCGCGAGCGCTTCGACGCAATTGCAAAAGAGTCCTCAATCTAGCAAGTTATTACGTGGCACTATGCGCACTATTGCAGAAGAGACACGCTTCGCACCTAACACCCTGTAAAAACTCGTCTCTGCAATGGCATGCCCCTGGGTGCGTGCGCACGATGGCGTGGCTCACCGATGGCATACAGCGGTTACGCCAGGCAACCTAGTGGCGCTCCGGTGAGACCAAGGTGTCAACTGAGCTCTATGGCCAAACACGCAAGGGTGGCGGCGGTTGGGAGCTTAACGGTGCACTACCGAGGCCTGGTCTCGTCGATGGGCAAAACCGTGCGGTGGCATGACTGTTTCGGCGGCCTAAGATACTATCGAGGTGGTTGAGGTAGCAGGTAAGCACCAATAGCTCACCAGAATTCGTGCTGCGGTGACAGTTGAGGTGGAGGAGTGTCGAGGTGGCCTGGCCACGTGTGAGCCGCCGGGGCGGCGGTGCTCTGGGATGGACACCCATGCGTCACCATGTCTCCAACAAGCGCCCTAGCCAAATGGCGTGAGCACTAGATAGAGGAGGTCAAAGCGAGCTCGTGGATACAAACAATTGAACCCATTCGGACCTTACCCCAATTTCACTGGCACGGCGGCGCACCT